ATTGGTTTCCCTTTTCTTTGTTGAAGAGGGTCTGTGCAATCCTTCTGCCTAGTCCGCCATCTTGCCCCGCCTCCTCTTTCAATGTGCTTTTAAAAGCACTATCCCACTATCTGGGAGAAAAGGTCAGTTGACTTTAAAGTTGAGTGGAACAAAGTCTGCCAAAGTCAGCAAATAGGCCCTCAGGGTGGGTTGGAGAGGGGCCTCCATTTGGATAGGGTGGAGGGGTGCTCTCTTCTTCTTGTCCTGGCCAAGACCCTGCAGCCCTACCAAGGTCTATACTTGGAGTTAGTACCACCTTCCCACAAGGCTGTTTTGAGGAATTAGCTCATGTTAAAGCACTTGGGAACTGCCAAGTCAGTGGTGGTGGTTGTTTTTACCATTAGCATCTCAGCATCAAGAGGGTCCCTAGGCCCTTGGGAGGCTCCCTAACCCAGCTGCCCTGACCTGGGTTGTGACCCCAAACACTCCGCTACCCTCACTGGAACCCTGCCATATCTGCTTGGCCCTCTGCCAGGCATGCTATCATCTGGGCATCACCCCATGACTCTGCCCTATTGTCTGGCTGCAGTAGAGGGTACCATGTCCTCTTGGGACTTTTGGAAGCTTTGGAGCCAGGTGCCTGCATTCCTGCAGGCTCAATGAGGCTCAGTCACTGGCTATGTGCTGCAGGCAAACACATAGATACTTAACTCTGGGCTCAGTTCCTCAGCTTACTCCCTGAAGGTGGTGGGTGGTCATTGGGTTCTGGAGCCTCAGCAGCACTGGGCAAGTGTAGGCACCCTCAAGCTCTGCGAAGGAGGGAGGGAGGTCTGGGGCCTGGTCTTGTGGCACCGCCACTGTGTGTTGGGAACCCACCCCTTGAATTTTAACCTATATCCCAGTCCCTTCATCTTCCCTAGGGAGGGCCAACAGAGACTACATACCTGGAGCTGGACAAAGCTCCCTCGGGAACTGGACAGTGCCAACCACCAATAGGGACCCAAGGCACAGCCCCAGGAGGCCCTGCTCCCCTCACCTCCCTTAAACTCAGCCTCCACCCTCCCCTGGCCTACCACTACCAAGCAGATCTGAAGGTGGCATCAGTAGCCTTAGGTGACCATCATTGGCTGGACCTGAAGCAGCTATTCACTGCTGGTTGCTTGCTGGGAAAAGGAGGTTCATTTGGGGAGCCAAGCCCAGCAGCAGGGTCATCACTTTGGCCATAGTGGAGACAGATGGCCTGTAGGCCAGGACCAAGTCTTCCCTGAGTGTCCACACAATACCAAGGCCTGTGCACCACAGCCTGTACTGCACAGATGCAATTCAGCTCAGCCACTCATCAACCAGACCTGCTATGTGAGATGCTATTCAGGTTTATTTTTTGTGTGTGTACAAAAGTTTACATGTGACACAGATACACAAACATGGAGACATAGATACACATAGAAACACACAGACAGACATAGAAACATACTTAGAGACCAAAACCAAAAAAAAAAACCAAACTCATTGCCATTGAGTTGATTCTACTCATAGTAATCCCTACTTGGGTTTCTGAGGCAGTATCTCTACGGAAGTAGATTCCCTAATCTTCCTTCCAAGGAGTGGCTCGTGGGTTTGCACTGTCAAACCCACGAGCCTTCTTGTTAGTAGTCAAATGCCTTAGGTACTATGCCACCAGAGCTCCCATACTTAGACACAGACACACACAAACACACATAGACATGCACACACATACATGCACACGCAGTCATATACAGAGACACACACAGGACCTCCTTCCCACCCCCATACACACACATATGGGGCCATGCCTTCAGGAGAGTGCTTAAGATGCAGTATCTGGGGGGAGGAGAGGGTTTGTGCTGTCAGTACCAAATCATGGAGTCTCCACCCACCCTGCCTCCTGCCACGGGTGCTTGAGGGAGGGGTCTGTGGGCCTCTGGCAGCCTTTGTTTTTGCTGCCCACATTCCAGGGGACTTCTCAGGCAGCTGAACTTGTTGAAATATTTGGGCTTCTTTGGACAATTCTTTCTATTTCCAGCACTTCCTTCTCCCTCAGTTGTTTTCTTCTCCCCATCTGCTGTGGGCTTCTTGGTACTATAAGGCAGACTCCATGAAGGGCATGTGTTTGGCGGTCCTACGCACCCATGGACTTGCTAGGGTGGCTCTCCTGCTGCCAACATCTCTCTGCTTCTTGGTTAGAGGGCTTGTTCCCAGAGGGACTCACATCCCGCCTGTATGGGAGGATGTGTTGGAGCACCCCTAACTGAGCAGTTGAATCCATGTGGTCCTCCTTCCTCGGAACTGGGACCTTTGGAGCTTGACTTTCAGAGGAGACTTGCCCCTTGCCCTGGAATTCTCCCCAACATGTCCTCTCACATGTCCTTCTTGTTCTTTCCCCACCATGCAGGTTGCAAGATGGGAGCAGAAGACACGCAGGCTGAGCAAGGCCTTCGGGTCACCCTACCTGGCCTGCTATGTGCTAGGGGGTGCCATCCTGCTTCTGAACCTGGTCCGCTCACACTGGTAAGCTGTCCCCAGCAGGCTGCACATGCGGGGCTGGGCCTGCTCCCAACTGGTATGGTTGTTTTCCATTGTAAGAGTCCATGGTGCTTGAGAGGAAGAGCTGGCAAATGCTGACAGTTCTGGGGTCCATCAGATGGGGAGCAGAGATTTACTCCCTCCTTAGGCAGGGAAAACATAATGCTATGTCTTCTCTAAGACTGGGGCTGGTGGGGAAGAGGGGGACAGAGGGAGCAGCACTGGTGGCCCTTGGCTTTTATCTGCAGCCCTAGCATGTGCCACTGCTTTAGTTTTCTCCAGGAGGTACTGGGGCAGGACCAAGGCCTAGCTTAGTCCACATCCTTGTCCTGATGGGAAACTGTCCTAGTGGTGGAGCTCTACCCATTGACCACTTCTTGCTGCCAGCTTCTCCCCTCTCCTTAGGAGACCCTCAGCGGGAGTGTGGTTCCAGCCATATTCCAGGCTTGGGAGCCCAGACCACCTGCCTCTGAGCCTTGGTTTGTCATCTGAAAGAGGACAGGGTGAGCACCCACCCCCTTGGCTTCTGTGAAAAATGAGTGCTACTGCACATGGGTCAGTCACTCATGGCCTGAATGGACCCCTGTGGTGCATCAAAAACTAAGGAATTACCCATGAAAACCCATTGCTGGGTTTGACACTCCACTGGCTTGGTTGAGGTATGTCTGATGGTGTTCCTTTAGACCGGGCCTGTGTCCTCTGCTTCACAGCCCCACCTGACCGCTGGCTCCCTCAGAGGCCCAGCCAGTGCTGGTGTGACAGTGGAAGTATCTGCCAACTGCTGGGCCATGTACAGAGAATAGCCTCTGTAAATGCCATGGGGGCATGAGGGCAGACGAAGCACTTCCACACTCCATTCCTGCTGGAGAGACATGGGTGGCTCTTCTCCCCACTTTACAGATTAACAGATGAGGCCTGGCCAGGGTCAGAGTCTGAACTTGGACCCAGGCCTTCTCTTTCCACATCCACATGCCCCGTGGGTTTGGCCTGCCAGAGACTGAGGCAAGTAGAGTGTGGTCAAGAGGGTCTGCTGAGTTAGGCTCTTAGCCAATCAGGCTGCATATTTCTTGAGACTTCTTTCATCTAGGTCAGGACAGATGAAGGGTCATCTCAGGCTCTGGTCCTGGGAGGGAGGGGCCCCTTTCCTGGGTTGAGTGAAGGAGATCTTTTTCATCATATGAAGGAGTTTGCAGTTTGGCCTGTTACAGTAGCTTGGGCTTATAGGGAAGTGGCAAGGGGACCCTCAACTCAGCTGGCCTGTAGGGCCTGCACACCAACAGCTGACAGGCTCCTGGACCAGGGAAGAACCGTTTTAAAATGAAGAAGGTGAAGCCCAACAGGCGCAAAGGAAATGTGATGGCAGAAAAACCAGGGCTACCTTGGGCTGCCTTAGGCTACCTTAGGCTGCAGTCCTGGTTCATAGCAGTGAGAAGTCTAGACTGTGAGGGAAGGAGTCATTTTTTCAAGGGAATGGGGACAGACAGACACCCTAGGGAACCATCACAGCATAGTAGGGCCTACAGCAACCCCCCATGGCCCTGCTGCCCTTACTGAGCCTTAGCTTGTCCGTGCCATAAAGGAGAAAATATACATGAGTGCCTAGTTCCTGGTGGGTGTTTACCACCTGGAGTGTCTTTGAGTGAGCAGGCCCTAGAGGGTGGGAACTGGGTCATGACTGGATCAGAGAGGACAGAGATAAAAGGGCAGAGGGTGCTTGGCTCCTGTGATGAGGGCAAACGGCTTCTGGGGTCATAAAAACACTGCTGACCTGGCAACTCTTCTGCTGAGCCCACCACCAATGCAGCAATTAAGGGGCCCAGCAGTGCAAGCAGCACAGGGCAGCCACTGCTGTGTCTCCCTGCCTCTGCCCACTTTTCCTCCTGAGGTCTCTGTCCTGAGTCTGGGTGCCCTGGGAGGCCTTGCACACAGGGATTTTGCACACTGCAGCCTCCCTCATTGGTGCTGTGTGCTGCCCCTACTGCTACCCAGAACCTACCCTACAGGTCACTGTGATGACTCTGACCACCTGCACTGGCCATTTCAGTAGCACCCAGCCCTTGCCACTGAGTCATATAGCATGGCAGACACTTGCTCACAGGTGACCCAGGCCAAAGGGACTCCTACAAGAGAGAGGCACTAGGCACTTCCTGCACTTGCACATGTGTCCCTGGGAAACCTTTGAGGACCCCAAGTAACATAGCCTGGGATGTGCATTGGTGGCTGGGGTGGGGAGCCCAGAGAGGTTATGGAGGGAGTGAGGTGAAGGTGGGATGAGGAATGAGTGTATGGAGAGGGGTGTCCAGCCTTTCCTCTCCTGGTCAGCTTCACCTGGACAGGACTAAATGTACTAGGGGCATCATCTGGTTAGGCCCTAAAACTGGGTAAGCCTCTGCACCAGCATGCAAGCAACAACCAGGGGTCCTGGGCTTACAGAATCTTCTACCAAGGCACCCATGTCATCCAGAGGCTCCTGGTGTACCAGGTACAGTGCTGGGGTGGAGAGTAAACTCATTCTAGAGGGGCCCTCAGATGGTAAGGGAGTCAGACTAGCCACCAACTGCAACCAGGCAGGTACTGGGGGGCATCTGGAGGAGGGCAAGCCCAGGGTGTCAGGGGAGGCAGACCAATGGGAAGTAGGGGGTGAGTCCAGTTGACCTTCTTCATAGTCCCTTGTCCTCATCTCTGGGGGCAGGCAGCAGACTTGCTGAGTCTGGCAGCGGGCCTCCCCACCAGTACGGAAGTGGCTAGCCAGACTGCAGGCCTTGCTGCCAGAGAGGCTTTTGGCATATCTGTGGCTCTGTCCCTACAGGGACATCTATGTCTGTTACTGCTGTGTTCCCAGTGCCACTGGGGACTGCTCCTTGCATAGGTCAGGACAGGTGACTGGCAAGTGATGGGTAAGTGAGCAGCTGTACCAACAAGGTAGCTGCAAGGACAGTAATTCAGGTGGCAGCAGAATGGGTCAGGTGGCAGCTTAGCCCACGGTTTGCACACATGGCCAGAGAAGAAGCATTTAATCTTGGAGTCAGGCTGGTCTGGCAGCTGGATATGTAATGGGAAAATGGGATTCCCATGGGCTGGGAGGCAGCATGTGTTAGTTGTCTATGGCTGCATGATAAATCCCCACAAACTTGCTGCTTTACACAGCATACTTGGCTTCCATGATCACAGCCTTTGGGCTCTCAACAGGCTGCAGTCACACTGTTGGCTTGGGTCACATTTCTCTTGAGGCTCTGGGTCCTCCGCTTCCTGGGGTTGGTGGGACACAGTTCCTTGGGATTGTAGAACTGAGCCCTCAGCTTTTGGGGGCTGCCCACCACACTCTGCCACATGGTTCTCTCCATAGTCTGGCTTTTTCAAGGCCAGCAGGAGAGTGTTTCTGCTGCTTTGTACCTCTCTAACTTCTTCCATCTCTGACCTCAAGATAGTCACCCAAGATAATCATCAAAGTCAGCTGATTGGGACCTTAATTACTCAGCAAAAGCCCTTCACCTTTTCCCCATCATAGGAATGGAATGACTGAACTCAAGGGGAAGGGATTGTATGGGGTGTGGACTTGTGAGGGCTTTCTTAGAATTCTGCCTACCACAGAAGGGAATTTGAGATAGAGGGAACAGAACCAGCAAAGGCTCAGGAAAAGGCAAGAGCTCAGTGAGGCTACAAGATGGGAAATGGGGGTGTGACATCCAGGGAAGAGGCTGGAGAGTTACTGGGGGCTTGTGCCTGAGGGAAGGGCTTGGCTAGAGTTGGGTTTTGCAGGGTGCATCTGGTGGCAGGAGTGGAGGGTGCTCTAGGAGGAGTCTGGGGCAGGAGACTTGATGAAGGAGGCTTGAGGCCAGAGCTGGGGGTAGATTCAAAGGCCTGTGCAGATGAGGACGTACAAGATTTGATAACTGGTCGGATGTGTGGACCAGATGGGAGGAGTGGGAGGTGAGAGTGGCTCAAGGAAGGCCTGCTCCAGACAACACTCATTACTTCATGCCTGGAGCTCCACCATTACCTGCCTTCCTATAGGTATGAGGTGCTGTGGTCAGTGAGCTGTGGGCAAGGAGGCCTTGGAGATCTGTGTAGGCAGCTAGAGAACTGGCAGTAGGACCTGGAAGGGGATTGGGCAGGAGGAGGGAGAGAGGCTGTAAATCAACAAAGTGAGACCAGGTGGTAGAGAGCCCAGGTAGTGGGGAGCCGGGGTGAGGGTGAGACACTTACTCTGGCCAAGCACCCAAGGACCTGTGACTGGAAGACAGAGGATGGAGGCCCCATCCCAGGGCTGCCCTCTGTTCTCTTCCCTGGGGGTCTTGGGACCTTTTATCTGGGAGAAGAGTTGGCAGGGACCCCAGGGGTGCTGAGGGACTGTGGAGGAGGAGCTTTACCTCTTTTTGTCTCACATGTGGAAGAGGATGTCAGGTCACTCTGGTTGTGAGGCGAGTGTCTCATGAGGGTCATGGGGACAGGAGAAGCCAGGACTCCTAACAAAACGAGGCTGGTTCCTGTTTGGGGAACAAGACAGCATCCTTCTTGGCTGGGGTGGGGTTTGTGACACTTTGAAAAGGCACACAGAGTTCCTACAGATTTATAGCCTCACATTCTAGTCCCTTGAGGGTTTTAGGGTACAAAGACAAACGTTGTATATTGTATCACATATTTATTTGAATGTGTCTTAGGAAAAAAAACAAGCACACGCATCAGATGCCTAGTTTCATGGGTAGGATTACTTAATGTAAGCCCCTTGGTGGTGCACACAGTGAACACACTTGGCTGCTAACCAAAAGGTTGAAGGTTTGAGTTCACCCAGAGATACCTCAGAAGAAAGGCCTGGTGATCTGCTTCCAAAAAATCAGCCATTGAAACGCTGTGGAGCACAGTTGTACTCTGATACACATGGTGTTACCATGAGTGAGTCAACTCAACAGCAACTACTTTTTTTATTGCTTAGTGTGAGATGAAGGGTATAAGAGTTTAAGAACATATAAGTCAATACTAGTGAAAATAGTCCCTGACTGGTTGATATTTGGGGCATGCTTCTTGTTGATTGCAGACAGAGATAGGGACCAGCTAGACTTGGGGGTGTGAGTGCCATGATACTCACACTCTGCTGGATGTGGTAGGACACACATCACACACATGATCATTTCATACACATGTGCCCACCCAGGGCTTCTGGGATTTCAAGGAGTAGTGCCCAGACAGCCTCAAGTCACATTTGTGACCGAAAGTACAAGCCAGGTTTTAAAAATAGAACCTAAGGCAGATGAATGTGCATCTCTCCACCCCCACAGCCCAATGCAGAATATTTCTAAAGGAAATTGCCTCCTATTACTTCATTCTATTCCTGAGTCTTTGGCCCCAGAGTGCTCCTCGTCCTCCATTAATCGTTCATGGGGACCGGACTGTGCTTTCCTGGCTTAATGGAGGCACTAGGCACACACAAAAGAGCACCTGACTGGGGCTGAGTTATGCAGTTCCAGTAAAGCAGACCTGTGTAGTCACTGTTTACGCACGTTGGCGTTGGGCCCAGGGAGAGCTCTCACCTAGTTTATTTGCTGTTTTTTAGGGCCAATGCCCTGCACAGCCCACCTAGGGGATGGGCACTCTCTGGGTATCACCCTGACTTACGACAAAGCTCAAGCTAATTTTTCCTCCCAGACCCCCCTTCTCTGTTGGTGATGGGAATGCAGGAGGAGATGGGCTAGCAGGTGTGTAGCTTTGCCAGCTTGACTCAGTGTTCCTCGAATCTTCTACCCACTGACCATTTACTCAGGAGGGCCAGAGTGCTTGGGCCTGCCTTACCATCTAGGGCCATGAGTGTGGGGAGTCATGGAAGGTGCTTGAGGGGGAGAGAGCCATTGTCCACAGGATGCTGCCATTGGGCAGCAGTGTTAGGATAGAGAGAAGGGTGTGGAGGCAAGGACCTATGGGTATGGAAATGTGTCAGGAGGATTTCTGGGGACCAAAGCATAGGGGGAGGGGGCTGTGAGACTTGGGTGATAAGGGAGGGTGGGTCAGACTATGTGGAAAGCCTCAGTAGGCTCTCAGTGCCAAGGAGGGCAGGCCGGTCTGGCTAGATCTAGCAGGGAAGTCAGTGCTGGAGCCACCAGTGTAGGCCATTAGAAGGGAAGCTCTAGGGTCCTGGGCCTCGACCAACCAAAGGTTGAGTCCAGGGCAGCCAAGGCACAGTGCAAACCTTTATCAGGAAAGTGCGTCAGCTTCCAGACCAAATCAGTTTTCCAACTGAGATGTCACCCAGGGAGATGGGCTGGAAGCACACAGCACCAGGGTGCAGCATGTCAGTGCAGAAGGTCCTTTTCTGCCTACTGCATGCAGACAGGCACAGAGGCGTTCCTGCCTTCTGCTAGGATGATGGGGATAGTTCCTAGCAGAAGGACTGGCCCAGCAGCCCAGCGTGTGCATTAACCCTGCCACCTCCCCCAGCAGCCTTTCCATGCACTGAGAATGAATTCTAGGCTCCTCACCGGGCCCTTCATCAGGTCAAGGATGTGGGTTCCTTCACCTACTCCTTTGCCCTACGTTCTGTCCATCTTCAAAGCATCCAGATCTAGGTGGTTCTCTTTCCGAAATGCTCTCTGCTACTCCCTCCCCATTTCTAGGCTAATTTCTCCCGTTAGATCTCAATGTAAATACCACTTTCTATGCTGTGGTCCAGGTGCTTTTTCTTTTCACACACTCACAATTTACAGTCCTTCGTTTATTCCTGTAGGTTCACAGGCAGAAGAGCCTGAGCTGGTCTTCGTGTGTGCCCAGTCTCTGGGCACTGTGTTTTGGTTACTTGCGTGCTCCCCTAACAGAAAATGCTACAAATGGGATGGCTTTAACAAACAGGAGTTTATTCTCTTATGGAGGCTTTAAGTCTAAGTTCAAAGTGCCAAGCTCTAGGGGCTGAGTGAAAGCCCCTCAACCCTGGGCTTCAGCTCTGCCTCTTGCTACAGGCCCACTGAAGCTAGAGGCATCTCCCCACTCAGGCAGCTGCTAGCTGCTTAGGCTGACAAACCCAAGGTCGACAAGTGAAAAGGCACAGTCCCAATATTACCAAACCACATGGCAGGCCATTGATTCAAGTCTGTTGAATGTCCCAGAGTTGGCAGAGCATGGCAGGCTGCTGAATAACGACTCAGCTACATGCAGGGTTCAGGCATGCTATCAGTTAGAGACCATTCCCCAAGGCTTATATACAGGAAACAGACCACACCCCTAAGGCTGCTCACAATAGATTCCACCATGGAGCTGATTACCAGTCTCATCATGAGTGTATTTGTGTACATGCATGTATGTGTGCACACGAGTATGTGTGTACATGTGTGTGTATGTATATGTACATGTGTGTGTATATGTATATGTGTGTGCATGCATGTGTGTATCTGTGAGTATGTGTGTAGTGATGGTCAGTCATCGATGCACTGGTGGGCAACATAATAAAGGGCAGGTAGGTACTGGCAAAATACAGTACCTGGGAATACTACATCCAGCTGCCCAGCCACTCAACCGGCCCAGCCAACTTGACATACAAACTTAACCATCACACACGGTCAGCCACCTTGGGAAGAAGTTGATCTGCCTCTTGAGCAACACTACAAGGAGACTGGGTAGGGATTGTAGATAAGAAAACTGAGGCTGGGACACCAAGTCTTTTGGAACCCAATCTAACTCTTTTGCCAGTACCTACCTGCCCTTTATTATGTTGCCCACCAGTGCATCGATGACTGACCATCACTACACACATACTCACAGATACACACATGCATGCACACACATATACATATACACACACATGTACATATACATACACACACATGCACACACATACTCGTGTGCACACATACATGCATGTACACAAATACACTCATGTGTATACACACATACAAACACACATTCACACTCTGCTGTGGGTGTCCCTGATGCAGTGATAGCCATTGGGTGCCTACAGGTAAGCCCTGACTGTGGTTATAGAGGATTCAGGCTGCTGGCTTGTGAACAAGTCAGGTGAGAGAGTAGGGGTGGAGCATGGTCATGGCAACCAAGCACAGTGCTGAGTATGCCCTGAGCTGCCTTGTTGTCCGGCAGCCCATGACCATGAGCTGATCCCAGTGCTCAGCCTGGAGTTGCAGGGTGACCATGAGCTTGCATTGCAGGAGAGGACAGGGCAGGTAGCAGTGAGTGGAGAGTTGAGGGTGTGGGCAGCGTGACCAGGGACTAAGCCCTGATACAGTGTGCCCCTGTTTGACAGGTCACTGTACAAACCCCTATCCACCCTTCTCTCTTCCTCCTTGCCTCCCTTTCTTCACTCTGGGGTGGGAGAGGCCTGAGGGAGTAGGAAGGGGATGCTACTTTCTCCCCATTCAGTGAATATGTGCTGAACCTCCATCTACCAGGAAGTGCCAGGTCCCAGGGAGAACGTCTAGTTGGGGGAAAAGTTCCAGAGAGGCAGCTTTTAGCCAAGCCTAAGGAAAAATATTACCACAGTCTGGATTTATCAATGGAATGAATAAATGAGCAAATGAATGAAGATGGTAAGTTCCTTCTGGTTAAAAGAGCCTGGCAACAGAGACACTTAGTGATGGATGGATAGATGAGTGGATAGATGGATAGAAGTATGAGTAGATGTGTAGGTGAGTAGATAGAAAATAGAATGTTGGATGGGTAGATAAGTGGATAGTGTACTGTTCTGGGTAGGAGGTGTCTGGTATAGAGTGAATGCTCAGAAATGGATGGATGAAATAATTGTCCTGTGTGAGACAGCAAATCTTCATGTCTCTTTTGAGTGTGACAATGGTGGTGGAATAAGAATGTGTTTGTGGCTGATGCCAACACCTGTGCCCATGTATCCCTTTCCTTTGTGCCCTCGCAAAACACCCAGAGCTTCCCTCTAACCAGTGCTACTCCCTCAATAGGGCTCAGACCCTGAACTCCCCCTTCCTGTAGCCTAGCTAGAGAATCTAGGTCAGCCCTCCTAGATGGGGTACACAGCCCTGCTGTGCTACCTGAGACATGTGCCTCATCTTTCTGAGCCTCATTTATCTCTTTAGTACAAGTTGCTAAGTGGACAGGATCATGGTTTGTAAGTTAACAACCCTTGGGCTGAAATTGCCTTCTGACATGTACAGAATCTAAACTTGTTCATTAATTGCCCATTTCTGAAGCTTAGAACATGTTACATGTAAGTCAGGATTTCTGGCATCCCTTGAAAAATCAGAGTTGCTCAGGTCTGGACTGCTTTTTGTCACTTCCTTTGTGCAACAAAGGGCTGGTATTGGTGGCAGGACTGTGCTCTCCAGGGAGACTCCAGCCCACTTCCCTTAAGTTTGTCACTTGCATGGCCCAGCAGGCCTTTGAGTTTGAGACCCTAGACTGGATACATCTGAGGACCCACCCAACCTGAGGCCAGAGCATGGGAAGAGAGGGTGTGAGGGGTGGGCAGCCCCCTTACCATGAAGTGACACCCTGTCCCCACCCTTCCAGCTTCACACAGGCCATGCTGAACCAGCCCAAGATGGAGAGTCTGGATAACACTGCAGCCTACTGTGTGGGCCTTGTACTCCTGGGAGTGGGTGTTGTGCTCGTGCTTTCCAGCTTCTTTGCACTGGGCTTCACCGGAACCTTCCTAGGTAAGACCCACTAGCTGGCTGCTCTAGAGTTGTGGTCTGTGACAACTGGGGAGCCCTGGTGGACCAGGTCTCCTTGCCCCCTGACTCTCTTCTCCCTGGTCACACCTCAGGGGTGGGCTGGATGGGCTCCAGTATCCCAGCCAGCACCAGGCACTGGGCTTCTGCCCCCCAGTCCTGGCCCTTGAATGATGTCCACTGCTTCGGAAGGCTCTCAGGGTCTTGCTAGCTCTGCGAACAGGGCAAGGGCTATGCCTTGCAGCTCCCTGGTTGTTGATTGGGCAGTTCCTGGCCAGGCTGGATTCCTATCACTGTGTTGGGGCTTGAGGCAGGAGATGGTATAGGTCTGAGGTGGGAGGGGTGAGGGATGGGAATGCTATTGCTTGTATTTGTTCCCCTCTGCCTAAGGATCTAGGGGCTCTGGTGGTGTAGTGCCTAAGGCAATTGGCTGCTAATCAGAAGGCTGGCTGTTCAAACCCACTAGCCACTCTTGGGAAGGAAAATTAGGCAATGTACTTCCGTAGAGCTGCCACCTCAGAAACCCAAAGACGCGTCTCTATGAGTTGAATTGGCTCGATGGCAGTGAGTTTGGTTTGGTTTTAGTCTGCCTAAGGATCTGGGGATTTCAGGTTGTGTCCCCATCCCCCATAACATCAACCACTTCCCATCCCTGGGACCCTGTGAGAAGAAGCAGCTGAGGATGCTGGGAGAGCATGGTGCTTTGGGGAATAGGGCAGGTCATAGACAAGGCTGTCATGGGCTTTAGTCTCCTCTCCACTGCCTGGCCTGTGTATCTGCACTTCACAGACACTCTGAGGCCAACTTGAGCCCATCACTGGCCCGACCCTCAGTAGGAGCCACACTTGAGGAAGGCTCAGGTGTGGGTTCATCATCAGAGCTGGGGCACAGCAGTGAGAGGTACACCAGGGGGCACAGAGGGAACCTGGGGAAAATCAGGAAAATGTGAATATCTTGGTTGACTAGGTGGGGACTGGGCCGGGAGGAAGGAGGAAAGGCCTTAAGCCAAAGAACTACACAGGCAGAGATCAAAGGGCAGAAGCTTGAGTCTTGGAGGAAGGCAGGCAGGCTGTGACATGGCTGTAGCAAGAAGTGTCAAGTCTGGGTGGTAGGGCTGGGCCGGACTAGAAGTGCTGAGGGCCAAGCAAGGCACTGAGGCTGCATCCCCAGGGTGATGGGGAGCCACAGAAGGGCTTGGAAAGATCCTCTCTTAGGAACAAGGAGGATGTGTTGGGGGTGAGGGGTGAGAGGTAGGATGGAAGTAAGGACCAGGAGGGTATCTTGGCCCAGGTGGGGTTGGGGGTTGGTGAGGAGTAAGAGATGCCAGGGCCTGGGTGGGAGGGAGGGGGCTTTATGCTGGGGGTGAGGAGAGGTGAGGCTAGAGACCAGAGGGGAGACTACTTCTTCAGTAGGGAGGATCTGGTCTTCACTCAGGACTTAGAGGGCAGAAGGGACTGAGAGGGTGGAGGTGTGGAGTGGCTGGGTGGGGATGCAGTGGGAAAGGGGGCCAGGTATATGAGGATACTGTGGACTTATCAGGGCTGTTCTGAGGAGTAAGGCTGGTCAAAAAAAAGGCCCAAGAATGAACTTTCCTGTTTCCCAAGCAGGGCTTTTAAGTGCCAGAGGGGGTTCAAGTGGACTTTGGAAGTAGATAAAGTGCTTACACCCACTCATAACCTCGAGTGAGTCATTCCCAAAGTGGTTCTGTGCCATCACCTCTTCTAGCCCATTTCCTGCTTCCTGGGAAGAAAGCTCCATCCTAGCAGTCCCAGCCTTCACCTCTGGGCCCCTGTATCCTTTGTGCTTCGACAATGGGGTGACGCAGCTCCTGCCAGGCTCATCCTGCCTCTTGTGTCCCACTGTCAGCTGGCTGCTCTACTTTCAGCCTCAGATAAGGCTCACTTGTCCTCAAGGAGCAGCAACAAATGGAGACTTTTCTGGGGAGAGAAGGGTCTGGAATGATAACAGTGGCGGCCTTTTTAATTTTCCTTTATCACATACATATTAAAATGCAGATTTAAATTTCATAATGTATACTTATTATTTTTAAAAAACTAAAATACATTTGGGACCTCCTTATATTTTTATTTCACAATTTTATTTTAATTTGATAGCTTTTTTTTAAAAATTGTGATTTGGGTGAAAGAAAGTTTACAGAGCAAATTCACTTTCCATACAGCAGTTCACATACACTTTGTCTCATGACATTGACTACAATTTACCACAATGCAACAGCTCCCCTCCCACTTCCTCCCCATAGTTACCTCTTCCCTGTGTCCTTCCCTCCATGCACTTCTGCCCCCGAACTGTCTCCCTTAGAATAGAATAGCCCTTCTATTCTCCCCTGATTGTTCTCTCCAAGGAGTGTATCTACCTAGTGTAAATGTTCACCTCATATGCCTGTCTTTTGTTTGGCTGGAAGCCACAGGAGTGGGTATACTTCCAGACCTGAAAGGCAGCTAGGAGCCATAGTCTTGGTGGTTCCATCAGGCTCTATTAATTTGATAGCTTCTGTACCATTTTTTCCTAAAAGTTGATAAAAGAGTTTCAGACTACTCTTATGCAAGTACACTGCAAATATTATGTGGGAGATAGATGTCTTTGGTCCCAACAAGTGAAAAGCCAAATTAAATACAGCCATTATATTACATTATGTATTACAGAAATGTTTTTTCTGGTTGTTTTACTTTTTTAAAGCAGTAACTTTTCATTCCCCCCTCATCCCAGCCCTTAGTAGCAGCTAATCTAATCTTGTCTCTATGCATTTACCTATTCCAGGTGTTTTCTATAAGTGGAATCATATAATATTTGTTTTTTTGTGTTATTTCACATAACAATGTTTTCAAGGTTCAACTATGTGGTAAAAACGTCCTTTCTTCTTATAAGTGAATAAAACTACATTATATGGGTATACCACATTTTGTTTATCCATCATCTGTTGGGACACTTGAGTTGTCTTTACTTTTTAGCTGTTGGGAATAAGGCTGCTATAAACATGGGTGCACAAGTATCTGTTTGATCCCTGCTGTCAATAGACTTGACAGTAGTGGGTTTGATTTTTGGTTTTCAAGTTTTTTTGGTATATAACCCAGGAAAAGAATTGCTGGGTCATATAGTAATTCTATGTTTAACTTTCTGAGGAACCACCAAACTATCTTCCACAGTGGCTGCCATATTGGCCATAGATGCATGGATTTATTTTTGGACTCTCAATTTTATTCCATCGGTCTATTTCTCTATCCTTATACAGACCAGACTGTTTTGATTACTGTAGCTTTGTAGTGTATCTTTTGCTGTGATGCTTCACAGGTTTCAGTGGAGCTTCCAGACTAAGACAAACGTAGGATAAAATAACCTGGTGATCTGCTTCTGAGAACCAGACATTGAGAGGCCTATGGATCACAATGATTCGACTCACAACTGATTATAGTGATGCCACAGGACTGAGCAGTGTTTCATTCCATTGTGCATGGGGTTGGGAGCTGACTCAAAGTCAGCTAATAACAACAATAGTATATCTTGAAATTAGGAAGTGTGATTTTCCTCCTTTGTTCTTTCTCAAGGTTGTTTTGGCTACATGTAGTCCCTTGCAATTCTACATGATTTTGAGGACTTCCATTTCTGCAAAACTATTGTAATTTAGGTATTGTGTTGAATCTTAAATCACTTTGAATAGTATTGCTATCTTAACAATATAAGTCTTCCTCTGATCCATGAGCATGGAATACAGTTCTATTTATATAGGCCTTTAATTTTTTTCAGCATTGTTTTATAGCATTTAATGTGCAAGTCTTTTGCTTCCCTGGTCAAATTTATTCCTAAGTACTTTATTCTTTTAGATGCTATTGTAAATGGAATTGTTTCCTTAATATCTTTTTCAGATTGATCATTGCTGATATATAGAAACACAACTGATTTTTGTGTTTTGACCTTGTACCCTGCAACTTTGCTGAATTCATTTTATCTAGTAAGCTTTCTTGTAGATTCTTTGTTGTTGGTAGGTACTTTTGAGTTGTTATTGACTCATAGTGACTCTGTCTACTGCCTGATCCTGCGCCATCCTTGCAGTCATTGGTATGCTTGAGCCCATTGTTGTAGCCACTGTATCAATCCATCTCATTGAGGGCCTTCCCCTTTTTCTCTGACCCTCTAGTTTACCAAGTGTGATATCCTTCTCCAGGGACTAGTCCCTCCTGATAACATGACCAAAGTATGAGAGACGAAGTCTGGCCATTATGACTTCTAAGAATTCTTTAGGATTTTCTCTATATAGGTAGCATAGTACTTGACTGCTAACCAGGAGGCTGGCTGTTCAAACCCACCAGCCACTCCTCGGAAGGAAGGTTGGGAAATCTACTTCCGTAGTGATGTTGTTGTTGTTTTGTGCCGTGGAGTTGGACCCGACTCATAGCGACCCCTCCATGAGTTTCCGAGGCAGTATCACTACGGAAGTAGATTGCCCCATATTCCTTCCGAGGAGTGGCTGGTGGGTTTGAACCACCAGCCTTCTGGTTAGCAGTCAAGTGCCTTTGGCACAAGGAGGGGTTCCTATGAGTCAGGTCTGACTCCATAGCACATAACAACAACAATAACAACATATATAGGATCAGGTCAAGGAGCTCTGGTGGCGTAGTGCAGAAGGCATTTGACTGCTAACCAGAAGGCTGGCTGTTCAAACTCCCCAGCCACTTCTCGGAAGGAAGGTTGGGCAATCTACATCCATAGTGATACCGCCTCAGAAACCCAAGGAGGGGTCACTATGAGTCGGATCTGACTCGATGGCAAACACAGCAACAGCAACAGCGCTTCTAATTCAACGATGAATAGCACTGGTGGGTGTTTACATCCTTGTCTTGTTTGTTATCTTGGGCAAGTTTCAGTCTTTCACCACTGAATTTGATGTTAGCTGTGTGTTTTTCATGAATGTCTTTTATCATGTTGAGGATGTTCTTTTTTATTTCTAGTTTGCTGAGTATTTTTATCAC